TCTCTTCCTGTGCTGTTCAGTCTTCAATGTCTTGCTCCTGAGTATTAAACATATGTGCCTATTTTTAACCAATCAAAAATAATCTTGGCAAAAGGCCTCACTAAAATCTTAATGTAGATGTAATTATGCTTTAATAATTTAGATTATATTAACAGTAGAAAATCTTTTTATGTGCTTATTGGCCATTTGTATTTCTTCTTTAAAATGCCTATTTAGGCCCTTTGCCTATTCAAAAGTTGGATTAGATTTGGAGTGTAACACGAGTAATAAAAACCCAGAGACCGATTTTGGGGTTTAAGCTGAAGATCAGAGAAGCAAAGCAGCCAAGTCACTAGTTCTTACCTCTGCCTCAGACCAAAATGGGTAATCCAGTTTCCACAAATCCTCAGAGTACAATGCAGACTGCACTGCTCTACACCATCAGACTGCAATCCCTGAGTTCCTGTCTCCGCCCATCTTATAGTCCCCTATCTGCCCAGCCATATTACTCCTGTCTCCACCTCCTTAGTGCTGGGATTAAAGACATGTAATCCCAAGTGCTGAGATCACCCTTGTGTGAGCTGTTTCTCTTTTAGACTGGAGCAATTTCATGTAGCTCACTGTGGCCTTGAACAAACAGAGCTCCATTTGCCTCTGTCTCCTGAGTCCTGGGATTAAAGGTGTGTACCACCACTGTCTGGCTCTATGGCTGTGGCTAGCTTTGCATTTTGATCTCCAGTGGCTTTATTAAATCATAAATAATACATCACCATACTGGAGAGTTAGCCCAGCAGTTAAGAGCATATGTTGTTCTTGCAAAGGACCTGGGTTCAAGTGCCAGCAACCACATAGTTATTCTCGGCTGTCTGTAACTCTAGTGCCAGGGAATATTATTCCATCTTTGTCTTCATGGGCACCAAGTCTGCACATGATACAATGCATACATGCAAGTAAAACACTCATACAGATAAAAGTAATAAAATAAACTGAAAAGTTGATTTATCTTTTCATTATTAAGTTATAAGCTTTAAACTAGATTTTTTTATTTAATTATAATATTTACTGAAGAACACTTACATGGTAGACACTGATTTCTGGCCTTACATCCATAACAGGGAGCTAGTCACTTGAGGCTTGCAAATTACAAGGAGTTTTCTACAGACTGTCTGAAAAGTCAGGGTTGTTGAATTTATTTTTCTATCTACGTATCACCTGAGAAGATGGACTTGGAAGCTTTGTTAGCAGTCTTGATATGTGTGTCAGATTCTTGGCAAAGTTGTCCTTGTTTACAACCATACCCTGTCAGAATTGCAGGTTGGAAAATGAAATGTTGACATATTTGATTCTTGGGTCCATTAATTGAATACCATATCTAGAAAGGACACATTGTGGCAATGAGAGAGAGCACAGTCCTTGGAGTTCAACATATTTGAGCTGGAATCATATTCTGTCATCTCATCGTCTGGTTGCAGGCAAAACTGCCTACCCTTAGTGAGTTGGTATTTCCTCAGCAGCATAAGGTAGTACAGCTGTCTGGGGGTCAAAGGCTCTACAGTTGTCGTCATAATTGTTACTCTTCTACTTAGAATTCTTTCATTGTCTCTTCAATCTCTTAGCAAATAGCAGTACATTGATACTACTTCTCTCCTCTGACGGAAGGGGTATAAGCCCCTTCTTAGATACATGATTTAAAAGTATCTTCCCCTGTTCTATAGGTTGCCTTTTCATTTTCTTTTTTAAATTAAAGATTTAATTCTTTTTATATGCATGAGTGTTTTACCTGATTCATGTGTGTGCCTGCCTCCCTTGGAGGTCAGAAAAGTGAGGCAGAAGAGTTAGAGTTAGAGACAGTTGTGAGCCACCATGAAGCTTCTGGGACAGTCCTAAACACTTGGGTCCTCTCTAAACACAGCACATCCCCAGTCCCCCTTTCACTTTTTTTATGCTCTCATTTAAAACCCAGAAATTTATGATTGCAGAGATGGCTCAGTGGTTAAGAGCATGTCCTGTGCTTGCAGAAGACCCACACTTTCATCTCTATATCCCCGTGGGGCAGCTCACAACCACCTGTAACTCTAGTTCCAGGGAACCTAGCACCTGTGGCCTCTTTAGACAGCTGCCCTCACAAACACATTCACAGGCACATGCACGCACATATACAAACACATGATTAAAAACAATAAAAATACACTTTAAAAATAAAGCTCATAAATGTTAGGTTTTGATAGTCTTCTTTGTCATTTTACTGCATGTGCTTTTGGTGCCACATTTAAGACCGTATCGAAGAACCTGGGATCATGAGGTTTTATATCCTCAGTTTTATAGTTTAAGCCCTTGCATGTGGTTCTGTGACCCACTGAGTTGGCTTTTGCTGTGATGTGAGTCAGAAAGCCGTGTTCTTTTCTCTCATATGACTATCTAATTATCAAAGAACCATTTATTAAAAAAAACTATTACAAAATGAAACAAACACACAACATATGACCACTTTCTTAATGAGTTTTCTTGGAACCTTTGTTGAAAAGCCAGTTGACTATGATGTTAAAGTTTTTTTCAAGACAGAGTTTTTCCGTGTAGCCCTGGCTGTCCTGGAACGAGCTTTGTATACCAGGCTGGCCTGGAACTCAGAGACCTTCCTGCCTTTGCCTCCTGAGTGCTAGGATTAAAGGTGTATGTTACCATTGCCCAGCTAAAGATGAATGCCAATTCTATTTTTTAAATAGTTTTCAAATAAGTTTTGAAATAAGAACAACATTCTTTTTTTGTCCAAGATGGTTTTGGCTATTATTAGTCTTTAGAAATTCCTATGTGAATTTTAAGATTTGCTTGTTCATTTCTAAAAAACAAACAAACAAACATGACCAAATATTTTGTTAGGGAAAAATTGCTATTTTTATATTTTTATTATTCCATTTACAACCAAGGAGAGTAAAGCATAGAGAAAGCATGAGAATAGACACACAGAACTGTGCTGGCTTCAGCTTCTGCACTGTTTTCTGCTGTGATTCTTGATCATCTGTCACATTTTGTACAGAAAGTAACTGGTAAACACAACTAACAAACTGTGGAGGGTTTCTACATAATGATACTCCTTGAGAAGCAGCTCAAGAGCCACCGTATTTCCCATTTATAATATGCATAATGATTATGTCTTTATGACATGAAGGCTCTGTATATATATGTTAAATGTGGATGTGTATGAATATATTCACAAAGTATACACATATAAAGCATGCAGGTACATTTATAAATAAACGTGTGTAAACATACACATGAAACAGAAATCCCGGGAGAAATTTCTACATATGTATAAAAAGACAGAATAATTGATATTTTTAGGCATTAGTATGGAGAATTAAACATTTTTATTTTATATTCTTCAGTATTCTTATTATTATTATAGGAGATTTATTGTTTTTACTCATTAATTTATTAATTAGGTGTACATGCATGCCAGGACATTTGTGTGGAGGTCAGATGAAAACCTTGGGGAGTCAGTTCTCTCCTTTGTCTGTGCAGATCATGGGGCTTGATCTTAGGTTGACAGTTTTGGTGGCCAAAACCTTTACTCACTGAGCCATTTCACCAACTCTCCTGGGTTATATAAAAGAAATAACATGTATAAGTTGGATGATGAAATAAGTTTATATTGTGAAGCCTAAACAGCAGATGTAGTCATTCTCTGAGAGTTTCGTTACCGGGGATGGGGATGGAGAAGGCAGTCTTTCCCTTTTCATTTTAAGCTCTTCTATATCAGTAGCTTTAAAAGCAATTATTTTTAAATGAAAGTCCTTAAGTTAGCAGAGATGATGTTTCTCTAACAATTACATACTTGTAATATTATTTTTGTGACTAAAGTTTAGAATTTGCCTTGTATTGTACATTTTATAGGGTAAAGCTGCCTATATTAAGCTATTATCAGAGAAAGGTTATCATACTCTAGGCTATAGTATTTTGTGTAGCCTGAAAATGACCTTGTACTTCAGATCGCTACCTCTAGAGTGGTGTTATTACAAGCATGCCTGGTTTGTGGGTACTGGGGATTGAATTCAGGGCTTCATACGTGTTAGGCAAATACTCTTCCTACTGAGTCAGTCACACACTCAGTCTGCTGTGACTACTTTAAACTCAGCCTCTACTGAATTAGAAAGCAACTCAGTGAAGCCTTCCTTTACTTGTACAAACATGAATGTTTGTGACTGAATGGAATCTTAGTCCTGCCAATTCATAGCAATGGAGATGGAGCAACTGCAGAAGTGGACAGCAGTTGAGATGTATTTTCTCCAGGAGAAGATGGCATCACGCTTCTTTGAACTCCAGAGCACTCATCAAAAGCAAGTGCAGATTGGAAGCTACGTTGTTTTAAGATGTGTTGCTCTGAGTATCATTTGAGAGTTTATTTTAATATTGTGGCTATTCATGGAATATTCTTGGAGTTAGGATGGCTGATTAATGCTGAAGTAGATGTTGTTGAAACTTAAATGGTAACTTATTTGGGGTTGTGTTTTTCAGGCAATGCTCTGAAGGTATCAGCGGAGAGATTTACAGATGACCCCTGTTACCTCCCAAAAAGGGAGGCTGTGGTTCAAGCCGCCCGTGCCTTGTTGGCAGCAGTTACAAGACTCCTTATCCTTGCGGACATGATTGATGTCATGTGTCTCTTGCAGCATGTGTCATCTGTAAGTAGAAGATGACTTAATTTGCTTTGGCATTGCTTTTATTTTTAATTCCAGTCCTGAAGGAAGCATAAATCCTGGTGCTTTCTGCCTTACTTCATCAGAAGCTGATCAGAGAGGGTTGTGAAAACTAGTGCATACATCTAAGGATGAAGCCAGAACTTAATAGTCCTAAAGTCATTGTGAAACAAGAATGGCAGGTGGCTTACTGATGAGGAAATGGCAAGGAGGAAACTCTAGACCTTTGAGCATTGAGATTAGTATGCCCCAAAATAACATACTTATTTTAGTTTTTGTGTGAGTGTGGAGGACAGATATTGATGTCAGGTGTCTTCTTTGATTGCTCTCTATCTACTGAAGCAGGTCTTTACTTAGACCCAGGGCTTGTGATTTGGCTAGTCTGGCTAGCCAGCTTCTCTGGAGATCACTTGTGTCAAACTCTGGAGCTCTTGGATTACACACAAGCCCCTCCCTGTGCCCACTTGGTTTTATGTGCTGCTGGGACACGAACTCCAGTCCTCACACTTGCAGAACAAATGCTTTACCTATTAAGCCACTTCCCAGACCCCCAAATCAATTAAAACAAGCAACAGCACAGAGTGATGTAGGTAATATTATAATGTATAAGTGTAAATAGTCTGAGGAAGAGAAACCTTAGCTTGAAGCTTAAGATGTTCAGAAGATTGACCCTCATTGGTAAGTAGGCACTACTGTTCTATGATTAGAGCCATATCCTCACCATGTCAGCTTTTCTGTTTTTAATCTTTAATCAAAACCAGTATTTTTCATACATTTTAATTACAGTCTCCCCTCCCCCACCTCCTTTCAGATTCTCCCCATCTTCCCACCTATCAAGTCCATGCCTTCTTAAAAGCCCCCAAAGCCAAGAATTAAAAAACAGAACAAAACAACAAAAAATAACAAAGAAAAAGCACAAGAAACACACACACACACACACACACACACACCCATTCCAAAACAAAATACATAAAATCACAAAACTAGAAACCACACTATACAAGCAAAAGGCCAGTGAGATAAAAAAAAATACTCAAACAAAGCAATATGAGACAAAAAGTCTAAAAACAAAATACCATTGAGTTCATTTTGTGTTGGTTACCAACTGTTGTGCATGGGACCTGCCCTTAAGAGTGCTTTGTATACCCAGCGAGACTGTTGGAGAAAACCAGTTTTTCCTTTGCACAGTTGTAAGTTGGAGATAGCTTCTTGGTTAGGGGTGGGAGCTCATTATCACTTCCCCTTCTCAGTGATGGATCCCATCTAGCATAGTCCTATGCAGGCCCAGTGCATGCTGCCACAGACATGTCTATAAGTTCATATGTGTGCTAGTCCTGTTGTATCTGGAAAACACCTTTTTCTTGGTGTCTTCATTCCCTCTGACTCTTATAACCATTCTTTTTGGCTCGTCTTCTACAGAATTCCGTGAGCTGAGAGGGGAGGAGTTCCCATTTAGGGCTGAGTGTTCCAAGATCTCTCATTCTCTGATTAATGTTTGTCTGTGGGTCTCTGTATTTGTTCCCCTCTACTGAATGAGGAAGGTTCTTTGATGATGGCTGAGCAAAATAATGATTTATGAGTATAATAGAATGTTTTTTTCAACTTTTTTTATTTGAATTAGAAACATGATTGATTTACATGACAATCCCAGCTCCCCTCTCCCACCCGTCCTCCCCTACCACCTCCCCCCCAACTAAAACCCTACCTATCACAGATCCTTTCTGCTCCCCCTGGATGATGAGGCCTTCCATAGGGTGTCATCAGAGTCTATCGTATCCTTTGGGATAGGGCCTAGGCCCACCCCCGAGTGTCTTGGCTCAGAGAGTATCCCTCTATGTGGAATGGGCTCCCAAAGTCCACACCTATGCTAGGGATAAGTACTGCACTCCTACAGGAGGTCCTGTAGATTTCCGAGGTTTCCTCACTGGAACCCATGTTCCTGGTGTCTGGATCAGTCCCATGCTGGTTTCCCAGCTATCAGTCTGGGGAGCAAGAGTTCCCTGATATTCAGGTCATCTGTTTCTGTGGGTTTCACCAGCCTGGTCTGGACCCCTGTGCTCTTCACTGGTCCTTTTCTAGCAGAATGTGGTTAGGAGTCATTTTATTGCCACCTTCCTTTATCAGAACAATAATATTTGTTTCCCCCCAGGTCCATTTCCTATCTAGTCTCAGGTTCTGGGCCACAGGAGCAGTATCAGGCCTGGGCTCTATCTCGTGAGGTGCGTCTTAAATGCAGTCAGATAGTGGTTGGTCACTCCCACAATATTGTGTCATCACTGTACCAGTGTGTCATGCAGTCAGGTCACCACTGTATTGCACATTTTATAGCTGGGTTGGTTGTTGTGTTTTTCCTCTGGTAGTGTGCAGAGTACCTTCCATCCCCATGAACATTTATCAGTAGGGATGAAGGCTCTAGTTAGGCACCAGCTCAGCTTCTCTTTTCAATATATAAGCTAAGCATTGCCTGCAGCCATAGGGCCTACCATTAGTTCGTAGAGAGCAACCAATAATCTTGGAAATAGCCTTAGTTGTTTGGGGTTTCCCTGGAGCCCTTTTGGCCAACAACTCAATTATATGTAACCCATTCCTAGCACTGGAGATTTCACTTGGTGGCAAAAGGTGTCTAGTTGGGGCTTTATCTCCTCTATTATTTGGTAACTTAATCAAGGACAAATAGTGTATATTTATAGTTAGTCTCTAATGTCTGCGGCAGTCTATTATGAAAATGGATTTAATATAAGTAAAAGTATACATTTATCTAAGAGGAAATCCAAGTAGGGAACCTGTCTGCTTTACTTTTCAGGCAAATTGATTTGGCATAGTTCAGTAGAAAGGAAAGGCATTCTTCATTTCATTACTTTGTTTGACATTGTAATAAATAGTCCAGAGGCAGAGGTTACAAAGAACTTGGAATCTCTGCTCATTTCCCTGCTTTACACAGGACCTGACACTTCTGTCTACAGATACATCTGTATTTCCATAAAGGTTCTTGGTGGTAATTGGTCAGCTAAATCTTTCTTTAAATATTGCTTGTTTTCACTATTGTCTATTTTTGTCAACCCAGTGATTCTTCCCTTTAACTTTCACACTCATCTTATTTCTTTGTGTATGTTGTATGTGTAATGCATGCACCTGCATGTGTGCGTGTATGTACCATTACACACACATGGGGAGGCCACAGGAAGATGTCAGATGTCTTCATTTATTGTTCCCTTCCATATTCCCTTGAGAGAGAATCTTCCAGTGATTAGGAAGCTCACTGTTTGGGCTAGCCTGGAGTTCTTGGGTTGCCACCGTCTGTGTTCTCCAATGCTGGGGTTACAGGCAAGCATAGCCATGCTCAGCTTTTTACACAGGTATTGGAGACTCAATCTTAGGTCCTCATGCTTTCACAGCAATTGTTATTACCCACTTATCTATTGGCTCAGTCCTTATATTTTAATTTGCTTATTTATGGTAAAAAGAAGCAACTTGTTATTTTGTTTTTATTACTTGATTATTTGTTGAACAGTAGACAAATCCCAGAACATTTCTGAGACCAGTTCTCTCAAATGTTAATATATAGACATTTATAAATAAAGAACAAATTTGAAAACACATCAGGTGATTCATAGTTCTGATGACCTAATATGTCTTATATTTTAGAATTTAGATTTTTGAGGCAGATTATAATGTTTTCTTTCTCAGGCTCTTCTCCTTCACCTGGTCACACAGAAGTGGCTTCCAGTTCACTCACTTTCTGAGAGGCCTCTTGGACAGTTTCTTTTTTTATTATTTTATTAGTTCAAATTAGGAACAAGCTTGCTTCAGATGTCAATCCCT